AGAGAGCCTATATCTTGGGAGCAAATCTTTACCCCTCACACATCAGATACAGCACTAATCACTAGGGTATATAAAGAAACTCAAAAAGCTAGACACCAAAAAAAAAAATAATAATAATAACCCAATCAATAAATGGGCCAAGGACCTGAAGAGACACTTCTCAGAAGATGATATACAATCAATCAACAAACACATGAAAAAATGTTCATTATCACTAGCAATTAATTAGAGAAATGTAAATCAAAACCACTCTAAGATTTCATCTCACTCCAGTCAGAATGGCAGCTATTATGAAGACAAACAACAACAAGTGCTGGCAAGGATGTGGGGGGAAAAAGGTACACTCAATACACTGCTGGTGGGGCTGCAAATTGGTGCATCCAATATGGAAAGCAGTATGGAAATTTCTTGGAAAATTGGGAATGGAACCACCATTTGACCCAGGTGTCCCTCTCCTAGGTCTGTACCCAAAGAACTTAAAAACAGCATACTACAGGGACACAGCCACATCAATGTTTATAGCAGCACAATTCACAATAGCTAAACTGTGGAACCAACCTAGATGCCCTTCAGTAGATGAATGGATAAAAAAAAAAATGTGGTACACACAATGGAATATTACTCAGCAATAAGAGAATAAAATCATGGCATTTGCAGGTAAATGGATGGAGTTAGAGAAGATAATGCTAAGTGAAATTAGCCAATCCCCAAAAAACAAATGCCAAATGTTTTCTTTGATATAAGGAGGCTGATTCATAGTAGGATAGGGAGAGGGAGCATGGGAGGAATAGACGAACTCTAGATAGGGCAAAGGGGTAGGAGGGGAAGGGACTGGGCATGGGGTAATTAATGATGATTAAATGTGATGATCATTATTATCCAAAGTACATGTATGAAGACATGAATTGGTGTGAATATACTATATACACAACCAGAGATATGAAAAATTGTGCTCTACAGATGTAACTGTAATGCATTCCGCTGTTATATATAAATTAAAAAAAAAAAAAAAGATAAGCAGCATTTAAACCACATTTGCATCTGTGGTGACATCCTAAATCATTAAATGGTGCCTCTGCCCCTAAAAAGATGATGTCATTTCATTTCACGCTCCTGTCATTGGTGGGTACAAGTATAATTCACAAAGCAACTGAATAGTAACTGATTGAGTTCTGAAAGAGGATAAGAACAAGCATGGAAAGCAATAGCTTTTCCATCATCCAATGAGTGCTCTGACTACCTGAAGCTGGGTGTCAGTTGTCAAGTGCAAAGAAGTACCAACCACAATATGGAATGGGACACGTCTTTTAGAGACTGCTTTTATCAATAATAATGAAAATTTTTGAAAGCAATACAGAGAACTGAGCACAGATACTTCATTACTCCTCTCCACCAAAAGCTTCAAAGACAGAGAAGGGTAGAAAAAACTCTGGGCTGGGAATAGATGTACCTATTCTTTCCCAGCTCTGTAATTACCTAGTTGTGACAATAAGCAAGTCATTTCCCCTCTGCAGATCTTGGCTTCCCTTCCATAAAATGGGGTGCTTGAACCAGATGAATTTCAGCTTTAAAATTTTGCAGTCCTGCTCCCACACATTTTCAAGGCTTCCTGTGGCCAGAGCCCAAGCTATCATGGTACACGTCACCCTCTCCCCAGCAGGCTCCATCTGCTCTGGCTGAACATCTCACTGGGAGTTTCTCCTCTGCTTTGCTCTGCAGTGCATATGGGGTGTTAGTTAGGCTCCCCCTTCCACTTATCCACTTCTTGCTGGCCTGGCAGACTCAACATGAGTCTCACCCACCATATCAAGTTTTCTCTGACCATCTCAGTCTTCTATAACCTCCCATCCTTTTGAATATTGTTTAAAATGCCTTCATAATCCTTCTTGGTCTAGACTGGGAAACACATGGAGAACAGGGTTCCAAGTCTGAGACCATTTCTATATCCTGCACATTACCCAACACAATGCTACATCCTGACCCTTCCTTTGCTCTTCTGGGGAGAGGAGGGACACACCTATCTCTTATAGTTACTGGGAAAGAACAAGTGAGGGAGTGACAAGAGTGTACAGCACAGTGACTAGAATCAATTAGGAGCGCAAATGCTACTTTCCTCCCTCTATGCTTGGTGACTGCCCTTTCCCACAAAGTGATCTACTGAAAAATGTACTCATTGCGGGGATGGGAATCTGGGATGCACTGGTAGCCTAAAAGGACCTTGGATAAGTCACAATTTCCCCACAACTTACACTTCATTTCAAACGAAGATAATGGTACTTGTTCTTACCTCTTATGGCAGGATGATAAAATGAGATAATACAAGAGAATGCACTTTCCTTTGAAGAGTTACTAGCATTGTTATTTTTCATAAGTCCTAGTTTCAGAAAGAAAAATCTTAAAACACAAGAGACAGACAGCAAGATGTCAATGTTAACGGGTGATTTGATGACGACTGTGAAAATCCCACTCTTGATATAGACTAGAGATGTCAGAGAGTTGTATTACTGTTCCTTAGGGTAGAAAAGCACAGATACTAAAAAGATTAGAAAGCTTTCTCTTTTGAATGCAATCACCTGGGGCATTGCTCATCTCCCATGCTAGCATATTTTCTAAGTCCAACAATATCATAAACACACCTAGGGAGTTTTGTGGGCCTCTGAATCTGGAGATATCCATTTGACACTGCTAACTGCAAACTAATAAAAAAAAATTGTAACATTAAATCCTTTGCATGTCTTGTAAGTGAACTTAATTATGATTATCTCTTCTGCATTAACATATGTCAAAGTTAGAGGCAGGGAAACAAAAGAGATGAAATACAGTCGCCAAAACACAGTGGGTGGGTTTTTGTTTCTGGTATCAATAGAATTTATCAATATTCATTGGGTATATAATATAATACAATGTAAGAAAAACTATTGAACATGGCAAGGATAAAATATATTCATAAAAGGATAACTCTGTCTCCAAAGTCATTTTATCAAAACCACATGAGGAACATGATTAGGGGAGGGTAATTTGAAGAAATTCATTTTAGAGGAAAAATGTGTTTCCGATGACAATGAAAAGGTTCCCAACATTACTGGTAATAAAAAAGACTTAGGATTATCACTGAACAAACTGTTTTTTCTTCAATGTCAGAATGTAATCATCCAGACAGGTAGGTGAGCAGAGAGGTATGCATGTACTGTAAGCAAGAGAAACAGAAGTGTGTGTGGTATGTGTTGGGGGTTAAAGGGAGACAATTTCATTGTGCCTATCTTCCAAAATTAGTTTACAAAGCCAATTAAGGAACACCTAGCCAAAACAGATCACTACTCTAACAAGAAATCACATTAAAAATGTGTTCTTAATTCTCCTTTGTTAAACATCTAACTACATTTTTAAAACATTTCGGTTTATTAGTTTGTATAAATATGTCCTTGCCATAATTTGTAATACATTTTATAAGTGACTGGAGGAGATTTCATGCATCACTAAATCATACATATAAATGTGAAGTTTGCATTAAACATCTCTAAACAAAACCCTACTTCCTTGCTATTTTTAGGAGGACTAGGATAAAGAAGATACAAGAGGACTCTCATTACAATGACTGACCCTCATAAAATTAAGGATACTCTGTTTTGAGCATCAATCTGCTACTAAAACATCCCTGGTACCACGGTTTAAAAAGATCTGAGTCTGGAAATACTACAATGGTTGATTGGCTTAAAAAATAACATGTTAGAACCAGGGAGAGCAGTGATTAAGTGGCTGGCAACCTTCCAGAGTTGCTTTTTAGTACTTTTTAAAACTCCTTTGGCTACCAATTCCCATCTCACACTACTTAGGTTTACGGGGCAGGGGCAGGAGGTGGGGGACAACAAGCAGCACACTACCCACATGTACTCTAAAAGACTAAAATCCTTCGGATCCTGCCTTGCTTGGGTACACTGAAATACACAATAGAACCTTCCTGAAGATGGGCACATTTTATAGCTTTCTTGGAACATATTATAAAATTACTTATAATGGTTATTTCCTATAACCTGTCACTAAAAGTGGGATTTTTAAAACATCATGTACAATTTTGTAATTCAATTTTCCATTAAGACTGAAGAAAAGGCAAAAATCAAGAACAAATGAATGCTTCCAAAACATAATGTTTCAACTATAGTGAAAAACAGAGGGATATCTCCTGAAAAAAGATAAAGATCACTGTGTTTTCACTGTACTAATATAATTAGTAAATTATAGTTTTTATAAAATAGAAGAAAAAGCTTTACTAAAATTGTTACCATTAAACAATGGCTTATTTCAAAAACAAACAAACAACAACAACAACAACAAAAACCCTCAGATTATTTTATTTACCTTAAGAGTTCCTATACTTGTACCTCTTCAAGAAACAGTTTATCATAATGTAAATATTAGGGAAATGTTTAGATGTTTGTGTATTTTTTAGTCTAGAAACCTATAAAAAATGCTGATTTCCCCAGAGATATTACTATTCTTGGCCACCAAAACAAAATGTAAAACACTATTTAGCAACATGCCTTTTAATTAGCTGAATACCTTTAAACAAGATAGACCTGTGTTAATTTAAATTATAAGGTGAAGTCTAGGAAAACAAAATCTATACAATACTCATAAGATCATAAAGTAAGATAATATTATTTAAGCCAAATATATTCAGATTTAAATAAAAATTAAACAGCCCTGGATTAAACACCAACCATTCTTAATCATGGTTTAAGTCTGATAACCAAAATCAAAAAATTAATGCAATATAAAATACATGTCACAAACTAACCAATATAAAGCTCTAAGCTTTAAACTTTTTGATAATGTCTATAAAATCCCCAGGAAAGGAGAATATAACAACTCTCCTTGGAACTCAGATGTTTTAAAATGATGGTTAAACAGACAGAATGTTAAGAATGGTATGGTTTTTATTTTCTATAGCAGATTCATTAACACTTTTTTTTTGCTAATAAAGTTTGAAAATCTGACACTACCTGTCCACATAGAAGGGGAAACAAAACTTGGTCAAAGTCTGTAGAACTTCCTGTGGAGAGAAGGAGAGATAATTTATACATCTAATGGGACCAATAAATCTAACATTAACCACAGCACAATCTAACAACTTTACCCTGAAGAAAGAGAAGACAGATGAAGAAATATGGGCTTTATCAATTACATGGGAGGAGTACCAGGCAGTCAATCATGAGAAATAATAAACATGATCAAACTTCATTAAAAATGAAAAATTAATCAAGAATCACACATGGGTAAGCAGCAGGAGCCATGCAGGAAAGCTCTGAAGGGAGGGAGGCGGTTGGGTTGCTGAGTGTTAACACCCCTCCAGGGACCATCTCCAGCCTGACCATATGGATCAGAGTGAATAACACTGAGCCACATGGGTTTGGCCTGGCAGGGCTGCTGTTGCTGGCACTGTTTTTGCCTGTTACCTAGGAACAGAGGAGGCCGGGATTAGACAATACTTCCCAATATCAATAGGCCAAATCACAGCAGAATAGAAAGCCAACTTGAAGATAATTGTCCCTGAACATTATCAACTACATATTTTAAAGTTCAAAACTTCATTTACAAAGAAGTTGCCATTTGGGGCAGAAATTAATTTTGGAATCAAACTGTAAACTGTAACCACTCTAAGTGTATACTATTTTTATTTAAATACCATTATCATAATATGTTACCTGTTTATAATTTATGGAAATCTAAAGCAAACTACCAGTCTAAACCTTTTTTTAAACAAATATCAAGGTAAATAAAACCAAGCACAATATTCAGGAGAGAGACACAAAAAGTAGAGTGACATCTCAAAGATTTGTTTTCATAAAAGGCAATCTTCTTACATTAAGACAAAAATAAACACTGGAACATCAGACATAGTGTATAGTGGTGTGGGGCTTTTCCCAACAGGCCCATTTCACATATATACACATAGCTAAACACATATATAAACATATACACACGTAATTACTACGTTCTTCATAGGACTTTCTTTAGCTTGACTTAATTTAACTGCAGGCTTTGATAGCCCACAGTTGTGCTTATCATATGTTCATAGACCAATGTTATAAATTTTTTAAAAAGTATTCCTTTCATGCATTTGATTTGCTTTTTAACTATTTAAAATCCTAGCTTCCAAGACAAAATGAAGAACACATTTTTCAATCACTGAGAAGCTGGTTCAAATTAAAACAAACCAGCCCACTGCAAATCCTAATCCAAGTGATAAATTAAAGATCGGTTTACAAATGTAGCACTTTTCTAACCAATAATAATGAATTATCAATGCTAACTGAATTGATGCTTCTCGCTTCATTTATTTTTAAAACCAGTTCTATCATTCAAGAAATAAACCACATCAATCTAATAACCCACTCAATGAAGCAGAAAGCACATTGACTTGCTCTGCCAGAGCATGTTCCGCCTACATAATTCAATTGAGCATATCCTATTTTTTAATATCATCTTGAACTGGTACTATGTGTATCACAGCACTGTTAAGGCATGTCATGAAAGAATAATGAATAGAAAACTCAAAAATAAAGTAGATAAGAATACCTCAGCATATTCTAAGAGGCATTACTTATAAAAAATTTAATTTTGTAATGTGGTATTCAGAGGCCCATACATATTGCTTTTAAACCAGTTGTTTAAATAAATTACAATAACTAGTCTCACAGAATCACCTCAAGAGCAATTTCTGTGTGATGTCATTACATCAAGTATTGGAAAAGAAATCATATAAACAGTCACTTTAAGTTTTAGTTAATTAGAAAATAGACTATAATTCACAAACACAAAACTCATGACTTATTTGCAAAAAAAATCTATGTCAACTTTCAAATAACATCATAAAGTATCTCTTATCTTCATTATTCTTTAAAATTCAGTTCTAAGCTCTCACTCACTGCCAATATCAGCTACAAAGACAGTTATCTTTTACCCCTCAAAAGTTTTAGGTGCATAAAGCACTTCTATACTCTACTCTATGCTGGAGTTATGCTGGCAAAAGGCCTCAAAGATTTTTTAAAGAAAGGACCCCCATGGCTATGAGAAAGCATCATGCCCTACAGCAGTCAAGAAATCTAATAAGCCCAACTTATTACTCACTATAATATAACAACTACTTACCACTTTCTACTGTCAAGAGTAAAAAGCAATCTTGAACTTGTCAGATAATACTAGAAAGAATATCAAACTACCAAACAGATTAAGTGTAACCCATCTCCCATCAATCTTCCTTTTTTACCTAAGAAAATAGTTATAAGTCTAATTAAGCAATGGGGCGGGGGGGGGGTGAGAAAAGGAAATATAGGCAAATATAGACACATGTTTGTACATTACAATATGTTTCTTCATGTTTGTGATATTGCAAGAGCTTGATATTCCAATTTAAGTCAAACTAGTTGATGGTGTGCTGTCAGAGGAAAACTTGGTGCTAGGCATATTCACACATGATATCAATCAGAATTGAAATATCTACCTCTCAGTTTGGGAAGGGGAGGACAAGATGAGGGAGTGAAAACAAGCCTGTTCTTTGTAAATAAAAACTGCTAAAATAAACCACATTTCTTAAGACCAATGCTTTCCTTTCAATTACTTTACCTCATCCTCTTTGACAAAAGAAAAACTCACTTATTCAAATATGAAAAGGCCACTCTCCAAGGGAGGGAGGGGTTTTTAACCCCTGATTTAAATTTATTTTGAGCATTCTAGTTATGGCAGAGTGTGCCAGAATCTTTCAATATCAACTTTACTAGGGAAACGATCATTAAACCAGTTTACCAGCCTCTTTTTCTCTCTAGAATCTGCATCTTTGGCTAGGGAACTTTCTTCATAGAAGGCAATTTTTCTGTTCTCCCTTGAAACACAAGCTCTTTCAGACAACCAGCCTCAGTACAACTTCAAGTACTGCCACATAAATCGGATCTTGAGATGCAGCACAGCTGACGAAATGTAAATGACCTCATTGGGAAGACGAGGGGTGGAAAGGATTGTGTGCCAGTTCTCCAGATCAATTCCCAAGTTTATATTTTCACAAATCTTTCTATGTACAGTTTGATTCTTTAACATTTTAATGAGCAAAAAAAGTGAATCTATAGTAGCCAGTCACCACAGTTAAAGTGCAGGGCATGAACTAGATCCCAGGAGGGAACCAGTCCACCATGTCACCACTGGCTTTAGGACATTCGCCACCTGGTTCCATGTCCCCAGGTTCCAACTCTTTTCATAATCAAAACACTGCTGACATTATAAACCCCAGACGGGTTTTCTAAAATCCCTCCCAATCAATATATCCAACACATAACTTATTGGAGACAACACTGAGCTCATTGATTAAGGTGAGTTCAGTAGCAAAGTTTTCAAAATAAATGAGACAAGAAGATAGCATTCAACCCCTTTGTGTCACCAGACAATTTATGAAATAGGCAATTTCCAAAAGGGCTTTTCTTCCTAACAAAATATATGATACTTCACATGGGAAGAAACAGGAGCAGAGGGGGCAGGGAGGAACTGTGGTAGGCAGGCAGTTAGAAAAACCTTTCAGTTGAGCATATATTAAACGGCAGACTGCAACAACATTTACAAAGCTCTGCCTACAAGTAGACCCCATGCCTGAATATGAACCAAAATATGAAATTAAAACACCTAACCCTGGACACACTTGCGAATGAAATTCAGAAATGAACTCAAAGTTCATTTCAGTCTACACCTGATTCATTTCACCCAACACAAATTCTCATCTGGTCAGAAAGCTCATCAAGGGAATTTGCTCCAATCTGGGCAAAGTTGATTATGTACTGGCACTAAGCCAATCTCTTAAAAATCCTGTAAAGGTAAAGGTTTAAATTTATAATATTATCCATTATAGGATCCTATCTGGAAGCAAAATCTTGAAAACTAAATTCAATGAAGTTAATTGGCATTATTAATCATGAGATTTTTACCAATTTGCTCTGAATTTGGTGTACAAGGTGAGGGAGTATAGGCAATTTTGTAACAGCTCGTTTCAAATGTCCAATACTTTGTTTTCATTGCTTCACTGAAACTTACAAAAAAATAGTATTATGTGGCAGATGAAAACAAATGCCAGTCATACACAGACATATATACCTCACAAATAAATGTCATCTGAAAGATAAAAGCACAAGCTGATCATAATGTCCAATGGAGCTATAGAATGTGGGGAGATGAGCCACATTCTTACAGTTCAAAAGTGGAAAAAAATGTGTGCAAGAAAACATTTAAATAAAAGGCATAAATAAGTGAAAGTATTTTGAAATATATAAAGCCACAATTAGCCTCTTTGTGGTTTGCTGAAATCTGATAGAGGAATAGATAATTTACCTTTATCCCCCCCCCCCCCCCAAAAAAAAGAAAGAAAGCAAAGTAGGGAGAGGCGGGAAACTGTAGGAGAACATTTCCTGGGTTTCTTATCTAATTTATTTGTTCATTTCAAAATGTAGGTATGTGATGAAAAGATCCGTGGAGCTCAAATTCCTAAAATACTCTCTTTCTAAGTTTTTTTTTTTAATAGCATGAGTGAAATGCTGACCCTCTAAGTCCTGCAATTGAGAGCAGTGCCACCGACTTGAAAGAAAAATCTTTGATTGATGATCTTAAAACTCAAGTTGAAAGTTAAAAACAGAACACACACAAATCCAAACATTAAAAAGCTAACAAAATTTCTACTTCAAGCTATTTCAAGTTAAAACCAGGGACTTTGAGGGAAAGCAAACAAAGATTTTAAATGGTTAAGAAGGGGAAAACAGAAGATCTTGGAAGCTTAATTAGCAACAAGTTCAAGAATGTTGATCAGAAGTTTCCTAAATGTGAAAACAGGAAATATAATTTTTCACCTTCACTTTGAGTGTCAAATTAAATCCTAGATCCATACTCTGGCTAAAAACAACTTTTCTTTTTCGTTGTTGTTCAGTGAGAAAAAGAAGCTTTGAATAAAGAATTTTACAGAAAGACCTTTCAATACCAAACATAAAAGCTGGGTCAAATTTCTAACAATGTGGCTCAAAG